CCGCCCCCCCCATGTTATTGTTTAAAATAATTATTATTTATTTTAAATGTCATATAAACGGTAAGGAACGCTAGATAAATTTTGCTGAGGTGACTTATGTGTGTATGAGTAATAATTATTACTGTATTTTTTAATAATGTTTATTGCATTTATACTTCTAAAGATGCGGTTTTTACATCACCATGCTACTTTTTATGAAACCAAAGATGCTACAAGAGTTGTCCTAGTCTTTTTAGTTCCTAAAATACAGGGCGAATTTTAAAATGTTGCATTTTTCGATCCCATCGTATATTGGTTAACTTACCGAAAAGGTGAAAACTTAGTCTCGTTGAGTTTTTTATATAGAATCCAGTGACGTTAACTAGTTTCGCTTGTAACTCTCATTTTCGAAATCTGACTTCTATTTGTCAACACCCAGTGTATTATTTTTTTATTTTATTTGCCTTGTTATGGGCTTTCTGAAAATACAATATACTCTAATTATTTTCATAATTAAGGTAAACAAATCATTATTTAACTTTTACAGTTTAAATTTAACTTTACATAAATAAACCTGGTTTAAAAAAGTATTATTATCTTATTTAATTTAATTTAACCAGATGATTTTTCTTTCCACTCTGTTATCTTAAAAAAACTGCACTGAAAATAAAGTTGGGGAAAAAATTATTCGATTGTATTAACTTAAACCCAATTTAAACCGATAATCTATGTTAAAAAGTTATAATGCACATTTATTGTATCTGCCTGCCGGTCGATCGTCCCATCGGCGCACAGTGCGGTGGATGATGGGTCTAGCGGGACAAAACCGTTTTGTTTGTAAAAATAAGCCAAAAAATGTGTACTGATAAGAATAAATAGTGTTCATTCCAACTGATATAAAAATGCATGAATTATTTTTTGGTCGTATAGATTTTGATCAACCAAATTTATCGTTTTCTTCTCAGCCAGGTAGAGGTCATACGAAAACAAAATATTTAGAAGTGCATACATTCTATTATAATAATAGCTCCCGTATATAGCGTTTAACGCCTTGGGAGTAGCAAGGTACAGCTTGCTATACTAGAGCCGTTCGGTATACAAGGAAGGTAATGTGGCTAGCACTACGCTTCAACCGCCTATTATTACCTCAGAATTGTGAATCCCAAGTACTCATTTTAAGGCTGAGTCGACCTAGGTACCCAAACTATTTTTATTTTTAATAAAAATAGTCGGCTGATGAAATGCCGGGTGTGAGAATCGAACCCACACCTTGAGATTGGTAGACGAGAGCCTGTACCTCTACGCCACCGGGCACCTGCATACTGCATACATTCTATTCCAAAACCAAATTATGTTGAAGATTGCCAAAGGTATGTAAAAAGGCGTATTAAAACCAACATTATCTCTTGACCGTTTTGTGGGATATCGTGATGCAATTTTTAGATCCCAACTCTCTTAGTAACGAATAAAAGAAAGGTGTTAAGACCCATCTACGATCATTTTCCCTTGTTTTTTTTTAGAGTTCAAGCTTAACAGGTGGACGCCCAAAAGTTTTATTTCAATTGGCTAGTGTAATATCGAAACAAGGACTCATTAAAGGGATAACTGAAGAGCACTGAAAAGAAGAATTAGGTTTTGCCAGTACTATGAGCTTTAGGGCTAGTGGGAGTAGAGATGCTGCTCTAATCATTGAAACCTTAACTGAAACTCCATAGAAAGACACTGAGTTTAAAAAATCAATGAATGACACCAGTTAGTTCGGCAATTTTTCTAGTTAACTAAAGCATGACTATTTGCAAAAGCCTTTTTTAATTTCTCATAATTTCTAATAAAAACCAAATGATTATTACTAGTTTTAATAAAAGTTTTAAAAATTGTCTTAGATACTTACTATATATGAATTTGCAATTACAGAGTGTTAAAATTAAAATTAAAATAATTATTATATTTATTTTTAAATAAAATAGCATTTTTTAAATTAAAATATACAGGGTTCCGCAAGATCACAAACTAATTAAAAAATAACTGCTATAATAAAGTTTACAGTACGGTTTTTGTGTGTCACGTACGAATAACATAATAGTTTTATTATCTTATATTATCTATTTATTTATTTATTAATATTTATTTATTTGTATATTAATAAATAAATAAATAAATAATCAAATTTAACACATATGGGTGCTATACATATAATATATTAAACCATTTGCTACGTTCTTAGGTTTTAAGTCCCAAACATCGCTCCTGAGGTTTTGTCCCGCTAGAATTACCATCCGCCGCACTGTGAAGCGCGTCTTAGCGCGGCGCTCCGCACGCCGTGTAATGGCACCTTAGCACATGTACTACAACTTTTTGTAATGGAAAAATTGCGTTGCGAAACTTTACATTTAATTTTTTACATTTAATTTTTTTCATGGGATTTTTTTTATGAAATACTTTACGCAAGAATGCATTAAATAAAATTATTAAGTATGTATTGGGTATATCATTCAGCTGCTAAAATAAATTTTTACATACTTTTATTTTACATGACATTTTATTTTACATAAGTATCAATTCAATATTTCCCCAAATCAAACTTTACATAATACTTTCCTTTGTTTAAAATTGAAAAATACGTATTATTTCTTAGGGCGCAAACATAGTGAGGCATCTCGATGCGATGCTCGTCAAGATGCTGGCCGCGCTGCTCGCCAGGATGGTAGCCGCGATGCATCCTACGCGCACTGTTTTAAAACGGCGAATAGGTGCGCGTAGGCATACTGAAACATTTACCATCGCCGTTTTATTAAGCACCAGTTTATGTAATAGTAGTTATTAATTAGTATAGGCCTGGTGCATTTCAGTTGATTTCAACAAATTCCTACCCCAGCGAGTCAATGGCAAAAATCAGAAATTATCCCTATCTATTTCACGTCGCTGTCATGTTGATCGCATAGTATAATATTGAAATCGTGGTTTTGTTATAATATATAAGTATTTTAGTTGTTTGCTAGTGCAGTTATTGAGACAAAAAGAGATAAAACACTCAGGTACCAGGTTTGTGTGATGTAACGCTGTTTCGGGTAGTAAAAAATAAATGAAAAAGAATTCGAACTAGGCGTCGGCGTCGTGCTGTGTTGTGACAATGTCAAATGTTAATAAAACTGCCGAAAAAATGTTAACGCATAAAGGAGAGCGCAATTAGGGCGTTGTTGGGTGCAATTACATTCAATAACTCAACTTTCCCGGATATTCAACTCTCCTGAAACAAAATTTTATAGCTTCATAGTTTCTCACACCGATTTGATCAAAAGCAAAAATGGTTTCAAACAGTTCGACGAAACAAATGAGTAAACAAAGTGCTCGTTACATAATCAAAAAATTAAAAAGACATATACTATGAGAGGATAAAATATAATTTGCAATATTAATGGTATACTTTTTTTAATCAACTAGTGATTAAAGTACTTGCTATAAATAAATAAAGTCCATAACCTAATTTCGATTTTGAAAATAGCTACTGGCACTAGAAACTTGCCATGACGACATCAGTCCTCTTTGTTGCCATTTTATTGAAAAATTGCTCTTTATTCAAAATCTGAGCTAGATAGGTATAGGACACCCTAGTATATGTAGTTTGAAAGAGCATTTGAATCTGTTTCGATTTATTTTAAAAAATAGGTTGTCGTATTTGAAATAACAAAGTTTTTATGTAAAATAAATATGTAAAATAAATCATCAATTTTTGGTACCCCTGTATAAATTTAAGGCAACAATACAATTTTTCAGTAAAGTTTATTTCTCTATCTTTAAACTCAGCACAAGAATTAATTCTAAAAAGTGATGTACAGGGTGTTGATAATCTATTCCATTGTAGCATGCATATTTAAATATTTTTAAATATCTCAGAAACCAAAGCTTGTAAACATATTAATATATAATAACCCTTATAATATATGCCTTATTTTGTGTCCAAGGATCCAAATAATAAATAAAATATATCGGGTGTTCCATAAGAAAAAATATAACTTTGGTGTAAATCTTAGTTCTGACATACCCTGTACATTTCAAAATAATTTTAAATTATGAGTTGCGCCACCCCGTATATAGGTGTTCCATTTAAAAAAATATTCGCGATCCACTCACACTTTTTTGAGCCACCCTTTAGAAGTTGAAATATTTTCCTCAAATACATCCTAATACATACTTTATGTCTGGACTACAAAATTCATAAGTTTTTTATTATTAGAACTACAGATGCCCGACGCACTATTGCCGAACCCTGTAGAATCAAGGTTATTACATTGTTGGCGATAAATTAAATGTTAGTATTGTGAACATTTTATTCCACACGACTCTAGTTCAACATATGCTCAACGAATTGTGATCCTAAACCGACCAATCAAATGTAAAGTTTCAGGCATCCGCGTCCGCTTCTAAAAAACAAAAATTTTATTTTTTAGGAAGCATCGCGCTGAACATCTAGGTGTGTGGCGAGGTGCGAGGCTCCAGTATGTTTTGACGCATAAATTTGTACATGTTTGATCGCATCGAGATGAAATGCCCCGCACTATGTTTGTACGATAGTCGCGATGCATCCTACGCGCACTTACTCGCCGTTTTAAAACAGTGCGCGCAGGATGCATCGCGGCTAGCATCCTGGCGAGCAGCGCGGCCAGCATCTTGGCGAGCATCGCATCGAGATGCCTCACTATGTTTGCACCCTTAGAGTTTCGAATCTTGCATGTAATAATATATTTTCAGGTCGATGTAATCTTGACTACGAATTGTCCATCTCTTCATGAATTTTTATTCCACGAATCTATCGCATTTAATTTTTTGTCCGAATTATAAAATGAAGGGACGAAAACTTTCACCAGTTTATTATTTTATATTTATTTGAAAATAATATAAGTAATTTAAATCTAAATGGCTATAAATTTAAATCCAAATGTAGAGAGATCGCTATTTATTTTAGGTGTTAATAATAATCAATTTCAAAATAACCTTTTAATGTCAATATTACTGACATGACATGAAAGTATGTCATTTATAATTAGTAATATTTTTTACCATCCAAATTCTTATAAATACATATCAAAAAATTCAAAATTGTTATATTTGTAAAAATTTTCTATCAAAATGGGCAACATCTTACTTTACTGTTATAATGAAAATGAAAAAGATAAGAACGTTATACATTTATCAGAAAGCTGTATAGAAAGGCTTACAAAGGAACACAATGAATGTAAGTTAATCCATATAAATCTGATATAAACTTATTATTGGTCCATAATTCATTATGATTTAAGTCTCACTACACCGTCCGTATCAGCTACCTTCCGTGTCCTTTCCGTTTACGTAAAATATTAAATCATTTAAATGAATAGGACCACGCACACACTATCCGTTCCCTTTCCGTAAAGTTTCTCTGGTTACGTTTTCTAATGTAAATACAATAAAATTATATGGAAGGTATACGGAACGGATATGGAACGAAAACCGAAGGTATGTTCAGATTAATCTTTAGTCATATTAAAACAAATTAACTTGAGTATAAATTTATGTAATATACAGGGCTGTTCACTACATACCGAAGGTATGTTCAGGTCAATCTTTAGTCATATTAAAACAAATTAACTTAAGTATAAATTTATGTAATATACAGGGTTGCTCACTACATACGACACGGAATATTGTAGCTAAACGATTAGATTTTTACAAATTGTAAGTTTTGGGTTCGCTGAAGGACTATTAGAGCTACAATTTAAAAATATTTTTACAAGATACAGAGTGTCCCAAATAAATAAAAAATATCAAAGTTGTATTTTTTTAAATAGAACACCCTATATATTATTACATTTTTAGTTTCTACGATTAAAATAAAGGTAAATTTGACTAAGGTTTATTACACTTAAACCTTACCGTTTTTGAAATATTTTCAATTTTGTGAAATTGCATATAAATTTTAAGGCTACATTTCTCAGAGGGTATCAAAGTTTATAATACTAAATATTTACTGAAGTTTATTTATAGATCAGTTATTGTGTTGCAATAATAAAAATTTTACTACCTTATACAGAGTGTTTAAATATTTATTTTAAATAATAATTAGTTTTAACCGGCAATAACTTGTTTTATTTAAATGGAACACCATGTATATTTTATGAGACTCAGATGCACAATTTAATTGTCTATCAAATTGTATTATGCCATTTTTTACCTATCTCTTCAAGTTTCCGTAGAAAATGCATTTTCTTGTAATTTAGAACTCATTTATCGATATACCCATGGAATACTGACATTTTAGATTATTTTTAAAGATGTACCAAATTTTTAAAGAGTACAGATACTAATATTGTCGATATAGTTTGTTTATTTCATTAAAAAATAAAAAACTGCTGAAATATTTCTTAAAGAGGACCAATTAATATGATTCCAGTATTCAAACTACATTAATTGACTGTTTGCGTTGATTAATAATAATTGCTCCAAATACTAAAAAACTGAGTTATGTATTAGACAGTGTGGTAAAAAAACTAACACCTTAAAAATTATATTTCATTTTTTGACAAATGCTTATTTATAACAGAGTCGTTCATTTTCATAACTTATTATATTGATTTCTGATTGAAATCCACATTTATTTAGAATAATTTATTGACGAACACAATTAAGTATGTAGCAAAATAAAAACACTAAATCACCACGATACACCAAACCACTTTTACTTTTACACTGGACGCGCGTTTCGCTAACTATGTTAGATGATTATAAACTAAAATACAATTTACAATTGGAGCGTTTATATACTCGCTCAGTGGGCACAGAGTGGGCGTGGCAAGATCTAGCCAACCGAGTCAGAACCCACCGACCGTAACATTTAGATTTCCGCCACTAGAGTAGTAGGAACAAAGAACTTGAAGGAATTGGACCGTTGTCTCTGTTCATACTATCTTTACATTTATTAATTCTGATGCTTTCATATGCATCTAATAGCCTGTAATTTGAGACTTGTTTAATTAATTTCAAGTTATTAAGATCTATACAATGTTCTTTATCAACAATATGTTCGGCAACGCAAGATTTATCCGGTCTACCATATCTTATCTGAGCTAAATGTTCTTTAAATCTAGTTAATATTGATCTTCTAGTTTGCCCAACATATTTCTGATTACAATCTTTACAAGAAATTTCATAAATACCCGACCTTTCCAGTAGAGGTGTTTAATCCTTTGGATTACCTAATAATTATTGTAATTTATTATTAGCACTATACACAAGTTTATAATTGACATTCTTATAAATTCCTTTTAGACCACGGGATAACTGTCTATCAAACGGTATTGAAAAATATTTTTGACGTATCTTTCTCCACTTGAAAAGTCGAATTTTCAGAAATCATTAACCTTTACCTACGTTTTCTAATTATTTTATCAACTAGTGAAGGAGAATATCCATTACACTCAGCTACATTCCTAATGTAATCTCTTTCTATTTCATATCTTTCGTTGGAAAGTGGAAAATGTAAGTATGTATTTAATTACTATTTGGGTGGAAATACTGGTGGTATATTTAATTAATGGTATTATATTCTTTTATAAAGATTTAAATAGTTTTCTTTTTGCATGGGCTAGTATATATGTTTTAAAAACAATCTAAAATGTCAATATTCCATGGGTATATTGATAAATGAGGTCTAAATGATAAGAAAATGCATTTTCTACGAAAACTTGAAGGGATAGGTAAAAAGTGGTATAATACAATTTGATAGATAATTAAATTGTACATCTGATTCTCATAAAATATACAGAGTGTTCTATTTAAATTAAACAAGTTATTGCCGTTTAAAGCTAGTAATTATTCAAAATAAATTTTTAGACACTCTGTATTGGAACACAATAACTGATCAATAAATAAACTTCAGTAAATATTTAGTATTAAAAACTTTGATCCCCTCGGAGAAATGATGCCTTAAAATTTATACTGCAATTTCACAAAATTGAAAATATTTTAAAAACGGTTTAAGTGTAATAAACCTTAATCAAATTTACCTTTATTTTAATCGTAGAAACTAAAAATGCAATAATATACAGGGTGTACCTTTTAAAAAATACAACTTTGATATTTTTTATTTATTTGGGACACTCTGTATCTTGTAAAAATATTTTTAAATTGTAGCTCTAATAATCTTTCAACGAACCCGAAACTTACAATTTGTAAAAATCTAATCGCTTAGCTACAATACTCCGTGTCGTATGTGGTGAACAACCCTGTATAAATGCTTATACGGAATTCCCTATATTTATAAGTATTAAGTATTAATTGAACTAACCTTATAATATGTATATAGCAGAAGAAATATCAAAAGAAGGATTAGACAAATTGACAAATATTGAAGAAAAAAAATGGATGATTAAATTAAGATGTTTCGACGAAGAACATTCTAACCTGTATGGATTAACATTAAAAGCTTTTGAAGATCTCGCTTTTCAAGTTGAAAGCCAAATTGAACCAATTAGACCCCGAATCTGTTCGCACGATGAGGTACATCTAAATGATAAAAAATCCTTTTATAATCTAGATATATGTTATCTTATACCTACGATAAGTGATTTTTTTTTCCTAAAAGGCACAAACTTAAAGAAAAATAGTATTAGGTACTATATCATACATGAAAAATGTGCTTTATGATCAACAACATCGATTTTTAATTCATACTGTATTCCGTTATAAAGTAACCGTTAAGAAAATACCCATGAGTCATTAACAATATTCAAATATTTTTTTATTTACCTCTGTAACAGCTATATTATTTCTGAGCTACGTCGAGTCACTTATTCCCGCCGATTGATCACCGAATTTAAGCGACGTTAGAGGATGTGGGTTATATCTAGTAGTGGGAACTATCGAATGAATACTATCGAAACATTCGATAGTTGCAATTCATTCGAATAATTCGATAGCTAGTAAAAACTTTCGTTGAAAACTATTCGAATAAAAATTATCGAATAGATGCGTCATCTGCCTTGAAATATTGTATTCTAGTAATTCGGCAGCAAAAACCATTCGTTTAGAAAATTCATTCATTTATTCGTCAGGATCGATTATAATAAAATATTAACTGGATTTTAGTTGTCGCCCGGCGACGTAGGTTTGTTTCCCAGAAACCCGACAGCGGTCGGTGGCAATGCTATGAAAGAAGCCGGCATCTTTGATTTTTTGCGGAGTCATAAAGATAAGGACACACTATTTTTTTTATTGAGGTGCTAGTATTTACATAGAAAATACATTATGAAGGGCGCTGTTGCCATATATTGATATTAGTTGATATTAGCAAAGAATATTATTGTTTGTCTTTAGTTAGTTAGGGATAGTATGTCTATATATTTTGCATTTTTTTTATTAATATTCTGTTGTTACACTGCAATAATACTTGTTATTTTGGATGTAGGAAAATGATTTTTAATGTTTTTAAGCAAAGACTGGTTTAATAAAAATAATAATTACAGTAATAATTGGTTATACCTATGTAAGATATTAGATTATAATATTATTAATAATCTGTCAATTTATGAAATAATTATTATGTTTATGTAAAGAGTGACAAGGCGCGTGGTTATCGTACCGCAGGTGCCCTCTCACTGCCTGAGGCTTGCGCTAGACGACCACTTGGACTTGTTTATACACATAACATACTAGATATAGCCCTATTCATTGGCGTGCCGCTAACAACCTATTAACAACAAAATTTAAAATAATTTAATATAAATATTTTTTTTACGTAGTAGCAAAATATAAACAACAAATTAGATGTCAAAATTATTTATATTAGATCCTATTTAAAAATTATATAGTCTTTAAATTTTTTGGCAACGTTGGTTTATTAAATAATAATAATTACAGAACTAATTTGTTATATTAACAACAAACTTTAAAATCATGAAATATAAACATTTATTAATTTTCTAAGCATGCAGTGCAATGGAAGGAAAATATAAATAAAAAATTAGAAATCAAAATTATTTATATTAGGTACTTTATATTACTATTTAAAAATAATATTTACTTTTACTGGCATTTACTTTAAAAAATAAATTAAATATTTCTTCGCAAAAAACTACCTGTAAGAGAATTAGCATAAACAAAATACAAACATCGTTAACTTTTTTTTAAATTGGCACGTGTAAAGGCTGATTCATGGTACACCGTGACGGGCCGGGGCCGTGCGACGGTGAAGGCACGGCCAAACATTGTCAAATGTTATTTATACTTATGCATTCATGCTAAGCCGAGCACGGGCCGAGCTTCGCCGGAACGCGTCCGTGCCCCGTCCGAGAAATGTCGGTGTACATTTTTCCTCGGATCCGCTACGGTCCGGCCCCGTTGCGGCAAACATAAATGAGTCGCCCGGGCTAAATACTTCGTTCATCTACGGGCCTATAGCGGCTGTTTTCTAGCAGTGTTGCCGCACCCAACTTTTAGCGCGTACCACATTATAAACTAAAAATGTACCACTTTGGTACAATTTTTTAAAGCACAACAAAATACATCTGCATATGACTTTAACCGGTTTGGTCGCTGTGAATTTCTTCATAAATTTCTACATAAAAAAACTTCCTGGAGAAAGACACAAATCGAGACGAAAAACATGAAATAGAAATTCAGAAAACCCAATTATAAGTATGTATAGGTTGAAGAATTCTAAGTAATTCTAATACTACACACAATACTTGGAAAACTTAAATTTTATTTAAAAAAAACGCAAATATAGAAGCATGTTAGAAACAGTAAATTTTCAAGTTTTTTCTTCGGGTTATTTAATATAGGCAACGCTATGACATTACAACGTTTATAATTAATTTCCAGTAACTTTGTTGAATATTTTAGTCTCTACGATGCAACAGCTCTATATTTAACCGACGCGTGTTCGAGAATTTTCCGACGCATGTCCGACGCGGTATGTATTCTTTGTATATACTGTCAAGGTGTATGTAGCACTAAACTGTATTACTGGTTGCATAACTGCATTACTGCCAAATAGAATTAAAAGTATCAAATTTGGTACAAATGTACCACTGCGGCAACACTGTTTTCTAGAATATAACCGGCACGGACATGATCCCCGTTGTCCACTCGGTGTAGCATATATTGAAGGCCCGGACGTGGCTCGGTGTCTACTTTACGGAACGTGCCCGGCTCGGGTACGGCCCGGTGTACCATGAATCAGCCTTAAAACTTTCAATTTAATTTTCTCACCCCATAGTTGAGTTCGATAACCACATTTACTTAACCACATTACTTAAATATGATTATCAAGTTCAACTAATTCATATTATTAAAACATCTAAAATACAAATATGTATTTTTAAAATTAATTTTAAGTTCATCTCATCTCTCTTAAAAATTGCTACTTCTCAAAATTTCCCATTAAAAAATAGACCATATACCATATAAAATAAAATAATTGAAAGATCGGGCTACGGAAAATCACACAAATTTTCGGAAAAATTTTGACACCTGCACACGCACACAATCGTCAATTAAAAAAAAACTACTATTTTAGTATTTTAATAAACGTAAAAATAGCACAGTATTTATAAGGCGAAGTTATAAAAATTTGGAAGAACTAATAATGCACTGACGCACACAAAAACGAATACTAAATTTAGTAAATTTCATTTATCAAAAGCATTTGATAGTCGTGGCTCAACGATAACCATTTAGTTGCACGGCGAGGTTGTCACATATGCTTTAGTATACAAATGAATGAATGATTTTATTCGAATAAAACCATTCGATAGTTGAAATCATTCATTCAGTAACTATTCGATAGTCTAATTCATTCGATAGTTCCCATCGCTAGTTATATCACATTATATGCGAATAAGCCCGAAAGACTGGTTTCAGTCGATACCGGAAGACCGGTTTCAATCGATACCTTTACATTTTTGTCATAATATTTGAACGTACTGTATATATTCTTTACTGCATATCATCTACAATATGATCGAAAAAAAACGGCATCACCGATGGCTATGAAATGAAGATTGCTATCACTTTATATGTAAAATTAGGTGGGGAATGTAATCGATGTTTATTTCCAAGCCAACTGGACGCCGTTTTTTTCGATCATTCGGCATAATACGGTCAGACACATGCAATGTAATTGAATTTGATGTATGTTTAAGGCATTGCTAGTCTAGCAATTTTGGTCTAGCGATCTAGTCTTTTTTTTTTAGTACATCTAAAATCTAAATTTCAAGTAAAGCATCTTACTCATACTCATGGATCACTCATGTATATTATGTAAATTAAAATGTCCGTAAAACTCAGGCCCATATTTCGGTCCATCCGGTCTTCCGGTCCAGCCGTGATACTTCGTGATACTGGATACCGGTATTGAAACATTACGACCGAACATCCCTAGCCCGGATTTTAAAAAGCATCCGGGAAACCTGACCGCAATAACAATTTAACTTAGTAAAATATTTTACCTCAGTCACAGTTTAATTAATTTCCAGTAACTTTGTTGAATATTTTAGTCTCTACGATGCAACAGCTCTATATTTAACCGACGCGTGTTCGAGAATTTTCCGACGCATGTCCGACGCGGTATGTATTCTTTGTATATACTGTCAAGGTGTATGTAGCACTAAACTGTATTACTGGTTGCATAACTGCATTACTGCTACATAACCGCAACGTGCATTGAGGAACCTGGCGAATTCGCCAGAAAGTAAAAGAAAATTACGGAATTCTTTAGAACGTTCCAGAAACACTCGCCAGGGCGTATATAAAGACCCGCGCTTTGGCAGTTGGCAGTTGGAAGTTTGATAATACCGCGGTTTAAATTGTGACTTAATTGGCGAAGGTGACAGAATCGTTAGAGTAATAGTAGTTGCATAAATTGCGTTGTAATTAGTATAAGTTGTGTGTACAGAGTGAGAAAAAAATAAATTCGTTAAGTATTTTATCGTGAGTTTAAATTAGTGGACCCACGGAATTCGTAACAGTACTTTGGCGCTCAAAATGTTCGCTTTTGGAGCACTCGTGGAAACTGAATGTTTTTTTGGTTTATATTTTGTTGATTCCGGGATTATTATTTATACTCAATATAGTTGCAAAAATTACATAAATTGATATGGTATTTTGATAATTTAATTTGTTATATATATTACATAAATATGTAAAAAGTGTTAAATACAACGTTGTAACAATCTGGAAATTTGTTACATTCACCCATATCTGATGAGCACCCAGTGGCGTAGCAAAGGGGGGGGGGGCAAGGGGCGGGCCGTCCCGAGCGACAACCCTCCAAGTACGGGAGGGACGGCAAAAAATGGTTACAAACGTGGCAGACGGATAGTGTAGGGGCTGCAAACCTCTCTTCTGTAGGGACTCTCCGCCCCGGACGCCCCCACTACGCCACTATGAGCGCCCACGAGTTATAATAATAATCTATAAAACCCGGCGCCTTTTCTCTAGTATATTATTGTTTTTTTTTTGTTTTAGTTCACGATTAACTCGGTTGGTTTGGTTTCTTGACTGCTCTTTTCTGCTGGTTTTGAGAACTGCTCTAGTTGAGGGTCTTTTAAATATTAAGCACTTTTCCGATAATTCTCAATATGTTCCCAATATGGCTTCTTTTAAGCACTCGTTGGTAAGCTTTGGTTTTAATTTCAATAGTTCCTTGTTCTTTGTAAAATCTCAATGATTATTCATAGAGAATTTACTGGATGGACTTATGACCATTGACAGAGATTACAAAAGATAAAACCATGGCTTTATTGAGCTGATATACTCTTTTTAATTCATATGCAAGATCTTGATACTTCTGTATATTTGCTGTTGCGGTTTTATGAAGATTCTGGTCTAATGGTACGGCTATATCAATTATGAAGCATTCTTTCTTGTCCTTGTTTATACAGAGTATATCGGGTTTATTATGTAATATTGTTTTATCTGTTAAATCTGTTGTGTATCCCAATATAGTTTATGGCTGCTATTTTCCATTACGGGTTCTGGGGTGTAATTAAAATACTTCGTCTGCACAGCCTGTAAACCAAGGATTAGTGACAATTCTATATGGATTATTTTTGCTATGTTATTATGCCTTTCTATATAACTTATTGGTGCTAACGTCGGACAACCAGAACTTATGTGTTGTAGGGATTCTGAAAATTGGTTACACAATTACACATTCTACATCTGTCCGTAATGTTTTCTTTCAGAACAAACTTCCTGTGTGATCTTGTAGCTATCACCTGATCCTGAATAGCGCATATAAACCCCTCAGTTTCGCCGGTAAGTTGAATTAAGGTATTTTACTGATTTACTTTTGTCTACACAATCTGGCATTAAATTCAGTGAAGTATTTTCCGTGTAGCGCCTTGCCCTTTAATTCCTGCACTATATCGCCTACACTCAGTGGTGATCTATCAGTGATTTCATTTCTAGCTAGGTTTAAGACTGAATATCCTGTATCAGCGGTTTTTATTGCTCGGTGTAAAGTTGTTTCTTTGTTGTTAAAATATTTTTGTAAACTGCTTGCAGACTCACGTGCAAAACTCACGTGCAGCAAGTGACACAAATATTTCAAACGAAACACGACACATATCATGTATACACGTTGAAACTTGTTCATGAAATATTGTGTCATGAGATTTTTAACAATATTTCATGCATCTCATGTGTTTCCATTGTGAAACCTGAAATTCTTGACTCATGATACAAAAATTTCTTAACAAATTTTCATCGTGGATACTACTCCTTATAACCGATGTGGCCGAAGCCGTCGTCGTTGGCCGAGTATAACGAGATTATTGCTATTATTAATCTATTTATCTTATTTATATATTTTGTTTGCTTCAGATTGTTCAGTGCCTGAAAAGAAACGCTTCCTGTTCAATAAGATGTCGCCCAATTATGGAACGGTATATCGACTGCATAGAAACATTTAGAGTTAATATTATTAAAGAACAAATTGAGTGCGAATTGAAGGAGAAGCGCAAGGAAGATCAAAAAATAGTAGAACACTTTTTAAAAAATGATTCACCAAGTCAATATAATTGAATAATTGATTATTATTCATCTATTACATAGAACAACGATAAAATATTTTTATAATAATTCAATATTAGAGAAAGCTATCGTTTTTCCAAATTCCTAAACTTTGCTGCCAATCTTTTTGTATATACATCTAATTTGTATGCTGCTTGTTCCAACTTTATTACACTATCTTCTACAGACCTGGTCAATCTGCTGCAACAATAGCAGTAGAAAATTACCTGAAAATGAAACGAACAATATATTTACGCTTTATGAATATACATACCATTTGTCATTGAGCCCCAATATACTTTTTCACACATTTAAAGATATATGTTTCATATCTGAATATTTTGTTATAGTAAATTTAATCATGTTCTCAAGTAATTTGTAATCATGCTTGCTTCATCCACGTTACCGTAGATGGAGCTGAAAGTTTTGGTAGGGTATAAATAAACAAAATACAAAAAGCGGAAAAAGGGGCCAAAAAACCCTACATATATGTAGCATATTCTTGTATTTTGTTTGGTTTGGTTTGTAATCATCTAAAATTGATATCAGTTCGCCATAAGGGTAATCGGATGCCCTACTAAACAAATTATTTGCTGATCCAAGACTTCAAAACTAGATGTTGATGTCGACAATGTAAGGCCTAGAATAATTTTGAATACTTCAAACTAAATATCGCTTTAGCATATACCGGATGCGTCTCAAAAGAGGCTCAATCCTATAACTTTTTTTTTTCAGATAAAAAAACGAGATTTGGTATATTAATATGTTAGATACATAAATTAGAATTGATTGACGTATCTATTCAGTTGTTTTCTGTCGCTTCCTGTTTCACCGGAAAGAACTACAACTTGATGATTTACTTTAATTTTTAAATGGTACCCACGGTGTTTTGTTGCTTTATTCAATAGAAAATTGCACTCTGAATGGAATGGCATACCATATGTCAACTTTTGATATTTTCGAATATGATTTATCTGAAATTGCAACATGCGTTTTAGAACGACAATTTGACTCGAAATACCTAAATCACCACAATACACCAAAACACTTTTACTTTTACACTGGACGCGCGTTTCGCTAACTATGTTAGCATCATCGGCAGATGATTATACACTCGAGTTTTGAGTTTATAATCATTGAGTTTTTGAGATTATAATCATCTGCTGATGATGCTAACATGGTTAGCGAAACGCGCGTCCAGTGTAAAAGTAAAAGTGTTTTGGTGTATTGTGGTGATTTAGTGTTTTATTTTTCTGTGTAACACCAAAGGTTCCAACTGTAATCGAAATACCTACCAAGTGTGTGGTACAAAATTATTCGTAAAAAATGTTTTTTCCAAATATGCTAATGAACCACCCTCATTCCAATTGAAAAAATTGAGATATGATTGAAAATACGATTTGGGCATCTTTTAACCGGCCAGGACAAGACACGAATAATATTAGAGGATCAAATCTATTTTTCCAAGGCTCCTTGATTAAAAATTGGCATTTTGTTTTAAGCAAAAATGTCGAAAGTTGACATATGATATGTCTTCTATTTAGAATGTCATTTTCTATCGAATAAAGAAAAAAATACCGAGGGTGCCATTTAAAAATCAAAAGTCGTAGTCATTTCCGGTGAAACATTATATGACAGAAAACAATTGAATACGTCAATCAATCCTAATTTATGTCATACCAAATCTCATTTTTTTATCTGAAAAAATAAAAAAGTTATAGGGGGTTCACTTTTCAGACGCACCCGGCCCGGTATAATATTATTTAATTTATAATAAGTGGCTAAAACAAAGACTAAAAATTAGCGTAAGGTTATATCTTAAAAATAATAATAGCTCCCGTATATAGCGTTTAACGCCTTGGGAGTAGCAAGGTACAGCTTGCCATACTAAAGCCGTTCGGTATACAAGGAAGGTAATGTGGCTAGCACCATAAAATAATAAATACAAGAAGAAGTGTCAAGTCAATGTTAAATTATGGAAACAGCGTGGCTGCCTGGGTAACTAATTTTCAGATATGGCGGCTGGGACATTTTACATGACATAGACATGACAATTTCAATTTTATGAAATTTATTTCCGTTTCCGGTTTTTAATGGCGGGCTGTTCAGGAGGTTTAAATGAGGGTTAATATACTTTTTACTCTTTCTAGTAGTCAATAATACAACAAAATTACTCAAAAATATTTATTTGGAATTTAGAACAATGTAAATATGCAAATCAACACAATTAAAGAGCTATAAACCAATAAACTACTGTATCAATATCAAATATTTAAATAATATCAGAGATGCTGTGTTAAAGTGAATTAGTAAAGTAACAGTGCATTGACTTACAGAAACTTGAAGATACATAAATGTTTTCACAGCTTCACGGGCATAAAACTAAATAACTGGAAGCAGGAAAAAGGCAACCGGAACCCACACAAAACCTGGAATCAAAAAAAATATATAAAAAACATAAATATAGGTACATAAGACTTTTGTGAATTAAATCAAACAGGACTTGAATAAAAATAAAATGAATAAAAAATATGATACATATACATCTAATACCTCATTCGTATTTTAAAAATAATCTACATAAATAGATTTATAGCATTATTGCTATGAAAATACATAATAGGTACCTATGTGATATGTAATTACGCATTTCTGTTCATCTTGTAGAAAATTAATGTAGGCTAATAATAGTTCAATAATCATAATTTACCTTGTATAACTTGCTTTCAATTGCTCAAAATCACCGATCAGTCTTTAAAGTAGAGATACGGAAAATCCTTGGCAAAGAATATCCCAAGATCCTTGGGTTTAAAGCTAAAAAAATATAAAAACAGTTAATATATTACCTATTTTTACATATAATATGGCCCATACCTACTACACGCAGAAACGTCGATTTCATCATTTTCTTCATGTAATTAATATCATAGGTATATACTTTATATCAAAAAACATCTTTGGAACAAGGAACTTTATATCAAAAAACATCTTTGTACTTATAAATTTCAGCCGAAATATCAGAAACAAACTTCCAATCAAATCTAAACGGCAAAAATTAAAATGGCGCCTGACCTTGCCAGAGGCCTCGGGAGCTGACGCTGACACACAGACAAAAGACAAAAGAACAGGACGCCGAGTGCATAAAAATGTTCCGTAGCAGAAATTGACAGAAATCATATAGAAATATTCAGATTTTTGTCTAGGACAGTCTAGAAGGCCATGCTTTCTGCCTGGGTAGGACCGCGCCACAACTGTTTCCAATTTTCCGGTTTACTGTCACCCCCCTGGCTGGCACTACGCTTCAACCGCCTATTATTACCTCAGGATTGTGAATCCCAAGTACTCATTTAAGGCTGAGTCGACCTAGGTACCCGAACTATTTTTATTTTAATAAAAATAGTCGGCTGATGCAATGCCGGGTGTGGGAATCGAACCCACTACCTTGAGATTGGTAGACGAGAGCCTGTACCTCTACGCCACCGGCCATCTTATATATTATCTTAAAAACCAATTATAATATCTTACTACAAGAGTTATGAGTGTCGTTATCCACCAAATCTTGTCATACCTATACATATAAATTCGTGTTCGGCCGGGCTGACATTAGAAATAAATGTCTAGACTAGCAATTTTTGCACTTAAATATAATATGTAAATGTCTGAATAGATCCCTAGCTTAAGATATTTAAAATGCCGTATGCGCAATCGAGAATATCTTCATTCATTACTAATAATACTGTCAAGTGTAAGAATATTTTTTTTTAACCTTATTATTTCTACTAACTAGGTACCTGATTCTAAAACGAGGGATAGAACACACCATTGTTAAAATATTGGGTTGTCTCGTAGGCCAATGCCTGCTTTCGAAAAATACATCTCTCTCTACTTTTCTCAGGGCCCAGTCACTGTTATAGAGCATTAAATTAAAAATTAACGATCAGTCCCATAATAGACGGTGCTAATAATTGTATTCCAACTCCAACTTTTTTATATTATATTATTCAAAGGTAGATATATTTTTAGTGCTTCTTCAACTATACAGCCACGGCATATAAAACAATCGGCAGGCTAACTCTGACTAGATTCCATTGAGCGCGTTCAGGGACGGTCAGCGGCTGAGACGATACTAAAACTCACCAAAACCTCGGAAGCATTCGGATCCTAAACGGAGAGTTCGGTTTTGTTCGCCGAGAAGCGTTTTTTAATTTCTATTCGCCGAGAAAAGTTTTTGCGGGAATTTTGAACATTATGAATAATCGAGAATCGAACAGTAATCACAGACAATAATTTTATTATGCGAAATTGCTAACAGTAGTTGACTGTTTTGGTTGTTCATTTTGTTTTTTTATAGTTTTTGACTATTTTTAGAAATATGGCTATATTTAAAAATTGATCTGCATTCATATATTTTTAAAACATACAAATATCATTAAAGTTACGAAATGTAATATTATTTGCTCATTTTAAAGAAGGAAGGTGGTTAATGTATTTGGCTGATATTTGGTAATATACCTATAAAGCCTACATCAAGTGATTTTAGTCAAAGTTGCATTGATTATTGGTGTAAATTAAAAATTGTTTCATTTGCAGATTGCATGATCACTATCTAATTTGATGCATAAGTGAGAACCATAGCTTTACTTGGAGAGAGCTCATTATTCTCAAACTAGTTGAAGCCTGGCGCATCCGCCACGACATCAGAAAAAAAATACTTTTTATTTTTTTTTTTAATTAAATGAAAAACAAAAAGTCCGGCGACGACAGTTTTTAGAAGAGTCAATTAGCTATCTTTTAGTAAAAATAGCAACTTTCTAGAGCAAGTCGTTACTTCAGTAGAGGCGACACAGATAAACATTAGCATTTTATATATGTAGATTCTACTCTCAAATCTTTTATTAAAATATCAGTTCTTAAATTGAATCACATTTTCATGGGGAAATAAACATTTTGGGAAAATTTGTTAGCTTAATTACTGTAACATATTAGAAATAAAAAAACATTTATAGTTCTAATAATCACAGACTTTATTAGAATGTTGCAGTTTCTTATCAGAAACTTATGGCTGTTCTATGTCAAAAAAATACAATAATTACAACAATACAATACTGTAAGAGTCTCACTTTATTTTTCTTTGATTCAGTGAAAAATAAATAGCCTTACTGGCGTACAGTAGTAAATTTAAATCTCTCGGGCGCCACCTCTGTTATTTATAGTGGAAGAGGTCCACGTTTCGCCAATACGGGTAGCTTTTATACAGTGGAGATACCAGGGAGTGATGAAATGAAAAGAAATAAAACACACAGTTGACTATAACATAACATTAAGGCTTTATTTAATTAATCAACTATATGCTAAATACCCCAGGAAGTTTCACGACTTTAAATTGTAAGGAAAGCGAAAGAAAATTTATAATTAAAGACTCGTAAAATAAAATTTACAACAACAATCGAGCACCTCTAGAGTTTTGACCGTATAATCTCGATATGCAACTCACTGTCCGATTTAATCACGCGAATTCAAAGCGCGTTTTTGACATGACGTTCTAGTAAATAAAACGACGCGAGTTTCTAACCGGCGTCTAACTTAACAGCGTCCTAGTAAACACAGACATGTACGTACCGGAGCGACATACTCTTTTATAAACCGACTTTCTAAACGTCGGCGACGTCGTTACAGACGTCCCGGGATAAACAAACGCGAGCCCTGGATCGTTCGCAGTAGAACGAAACGGAGTCCTGTGGGATAGGTACGCACGCGAGCCCTGGATCGTTCGCAGTAGAACGAAACGGCGTCCTGTGGGATAATTACGCACCCGAGCCCTGAATCGTTCGCAGTAGAACGAGACGGCGTCCTGTGGGATAGATACGCACGCGAGCCCTGAATCGTTCGCAGTAGAACGAAACGGAGTCCTGTGGGATAGGTACGCACGCGAGCCCTGGATCGTTCGCAGTAGAACGAAACGGCGTCCTGTGGGATAGATACGCACGCGAGCCCTGGATCGTTCGCAGTAGAACGAAACGGCGTCTCGGTTAGACGTCTGGATAAGCACAGTCCACACCGCCCGGTCAGGACCACCTCGGGATGTCGGCGAGATCCCACGGCGCTCCTGATGAGAATACGGGAACTACAGAACCAGTCTCGGGATGGACGAGATCCTGCCTTAGCTCCAAGAACATTCGCGACCCGTGCGTTTACTGTACCACCTTGCTCGTTATCTCTCTCACGCTCATTCTTTCCCCTAACAAAAGAAATCGTTCTTCGCGTCCACGTGATCCGTTCAGCTCCCCCATCTGCTAGAGGACAGTTGGCCCTGAACGAATACAAGCTTTGTCAGCTTTTGCGATCGCGCGCTTTCCTCGCGTCCACGTGATCCGTTCAGCTCCCCCACCTGCTAGAGGACAGTTGGCCCTGAACGAACACAAGTGTTGCCGGCTTTTACGATCGCGCGCTTTCCTCGCGTCCACGTGATCCGTTCAGCTCCCCCACCTGCTAGAGGACAGTTGGCCCTGAACGAACACAAGTTTTGCCGGCCTTTGCGATCGCGCGTTCTAACTATCTCTGTCTCCCTTATCCCTATAACGCGTCAAGGCAGTAAAGTAAACGGTATTAACAATAAAAAGAATACGACCTACTCTCGATCACTTTGGCGGTGGGTGCTTACCTTATACAATACGGCGGCAGGCGGCAGGCGGCTGGCAGCAGGACACTTGGCAGGGCACTCCGGACTCGAACTTCACTGTTCACGTGCGACCACACAACTAACTCTGTAGTGCCAGTACTGCCGAGGTACTCGACTACGCTCCCCTCCACCCAACCTGCACTGGTAGGGAGAGCGGCGCAAACGTCTCGGTTTCTCGCACCGAACCACGGCGACCAAAACCCTATTACAATATGGTCATTAAATATCTCACGCATTTAATTCAACAGTAAGAACATTAATGAAGTTCATTACCATAATGAGTTAACAATAAAATACATTGCCTAACCTTGTTTACAGAAAAGGTCCCTATTATTTAAGTACAGTATACGGGGTGTCCCAGAAATGAGCCCCAAAATTTATGAACTTCATTACAATACAATAATTTTAACAATAAACAATACCACATTATACAGGTTAGTAGCATAAGTAGTACAAAATAAATATAAAACCCTTAACCAACAGTCAATACATATTTACTTAAGTAAGACCAAAAACAAACGAAATAAAGCCTTAAACCAATAACCTCTTTCACTTTGTTGGGAATAATTCTTGCTTATCCATTTTCCTTTTATGGCTCATTATATGGTCTTTTTATTGAACTACTGGCCTTCTCTGTTCATTTAGAACAATTGCTGATGTATCCTAAAAATTTTCATTTCTATTTTACCTAACCCAATCTATTTTACCTATGATTACGATAATAATTGTAAGTTTTTTTTTCCACATAGTCATTATATTTTCTTGGCGAATGCATAATTTATCTTGATCTTCTGTTTTTCATACCACATGCAGTTTATAACTTTCCTTAGTATCAAAGTCATAGGCAAAGTTATGTGTTTCCATTTCCAATTTTACTTCATGGTGTTTACCTTCAAATGTTGTTGCAATATACGGCAACTTCCACAAACTATGCAGCCACAAACTATATACAGACTACCATATTTAGAGTACACAGTGGGCAAATAATACGTTTCTTCTTATTATAGTGTTTTTCACAAAATTAAGTGAAACAACACAAATTAAAAATAATCCAGTCTGTAATATTAATTATCAAAGTTCCATGAATCGCTGGATCCCCAAAACGCATTCACAAATTGTAAATCAATAATTGTAATAATTGTAATTGTAATGTTAATTGTAATTGTAATAATAATTAAATGATTTTAGTAGGTATTTTTTGTATTATTTAAAAATACAGGAATGCTGTTGAGTTTTTAACTTTGTTTTTAAATAGGGCCATATTTACTCTGATAATTATAAAAGTGCCGTTGTTTACAAAGTCCATCAACGGCAAAGTTCAGCTGAGTTTGACGTATACCGCGGTTGCGCGGTTCAGCTTCCGAGTATTTTGTCCTTAGAGAAGGAAAGAGAAACTCTCTTTCCTTGTCTAGGGTATGGTGAGTTTTAGTGTTGTCTCAGCGGCTGAGTGGCTGAGTAAGCCAATTCCCTAAGCAGGCGCTGTGCGAAATTTCCATGCTGGAAGTACACACTCGCCGAGGGTACCCGAGGCGCCACAAAAATGCGAGGTCCAGCGAGGCGTCCCGAGGCATTGCGCAAAAACACATCAATTAAATTTGGCAGTACATAAATAAATATATTCTGAAGAATAATTTTGTAAAAATAAAAACATCATCAGGCGCTGAACGAGACAAATTTAATAACACTTTTGGGAAAATTTGGGCAAAAATTTTTCTTAAATCCAATTGAAAACCGACCTGAAAGTCGAGAAAATAAAAAAAACAGTGAAATCCACAAAATCAAATTGCATATTATTAATTTCAAACAGAGAAAGATAAATCCGCCTGGGATTATTTTTGTTTTCATTGTATTTTTGGTATTTTTTAGAAGCATACTCATATACGCTTTGTTTTTTGATCCTTGGCTGTTATTCTGTTACGTCGCAGATTATTTATCATTCTATTGTCCGTGTTTGTCATGAAAGATATCATGAAAACCAATATAACGTCGAAAATAATGACGTAACTGTCAAGGATCGAAAAAAACTGTATTTTCGACTTTCTGTTGCCGAGGTGAGGTGTATTAAAATAAAAGAAAACATAATGCTGCATAAAAACGTAAAATATTTGCTATTTTACATAATAATATTAAAACAAACTATTTTACATTATAAAAATAAATCTTTATTTTTAACTGAGGATAAAAGAGATAAATCAACAATTTTGTAGTTAGAGTAATAATTCTTATGTTAATGATGACAAAAAAGCAAAAACAGTGTCTAGTGTGTCAGTAGCATAGACTTAAAATAAAATATAGACTGAGCATCTCATTCATAAATAGCTGGAACATGCGGTCAGACACTGTCTTGTTATTGTTGTGTTATTGTTTTAGGTTATAACGAGTGCGACACGAGCGATAGATAGGTTGTCTCTATCGTAACGGTCGTTCCCTGACGACTCTGCCGAGAAACACAACACAAACTTTCGTTTCTCAAGTACACCTGAACTCTCCGTATCATAGCCGGGTAATTTTTTTATTTTAATGAAGCTATAATTAAATTAAAAATATATCGTATTTAAACTTTTTTATATTTTATTAAGATTTAGGACAGGTTTTTTAAATATAAGTTTAGAAAAAACAATTTAGAGTCCAAAAAGGATAAAAATAATAAAATACACGTTATAGAAGAAATTTTATAATTGAAATTAGGTAATTTTTGAAATTAATAATAAATTATTAATTTTAGTCAAACATTTACAACCCCTAATATTAATCAAAACAGGATCTATTCCACAGATATAATAGAATCGGCGACAGGGAGAGAAAAAAAAATATGATTGTTGTAATTTTGTTTCTGGTTAAGTGATGTCTTATTATGTAAATTAGAGAAAACATAAATCTGTTCCATTAAAGCAAGGAAGGTGATAAAATAAAAACTACATTTATTTAACTCGGTACTGTCTTTATTATACCAGGTGCGTCTCAAAAGTGGCTCATCCCCCATAATTTTTTTATATTTTCAAATAAAAAAACAAGATTTAGTATGTTAGTATATGAAATAAATTAGGATTGATTGACGCATTCAATTGTTTTTGGTCACTTCCTTTTTAACCGGAAATGACTATAACTTTTAATTTTTAAACGGCGCCCTCGGTTATTTCTACTTTATTCGATAGAAAATGACACTCTGAATAGAATGACATATCATATGTCAACTTTTGACATTTTCGCATATGGTTTAATTGTAATTGTAACACGCGGTTCATAACGACAATTTGACTCGAAATACCAAGTGTGTGGTATCAATATATTCATAAAAAAATGCTTTTTCCAAATATGCTAATGAGTCACCCTTGTTCCATTTGAAAAAATTGACATATGTATGATTAAAAATACGATTTGTACATATTTTAACCGACTTAGACAAGACACGAAACCTATTAGACGATCAAAACTATTTTTCCAAGGCTCCTTGATTAAAACTTAGTGTTTTTAACAACACCATGGCACCCTGGATTGAAATTTAAAATACGATTTGTTTTTCAGCGACAATGTCAAAAGTTGACATATGATATGTCATTCTATTCAGAGTGTCATTTTTTATCGAATAAAGTAGCAATATACCGAGGTTGCCTTTAAAAATAAAAAGATGTAATCATTTCGGTGAAACAGGAAGAGACCAAAAACAACTGAATACATCAATAAATCCTAATTTATGTCATATACCTATAACATACAAATCTGTTTTTTTTATCTGAAAAAATAAAAAAGTTATAGGGGGTGAGCCACTTTTGAGACGACCCGGTATATTAAAAAATATTGTTTCATAATGTAATATCAATTTAAAATTCTTGTATGTTATTTTATATGCTCAAGATAATTTTAGAATAAACCATATTTTTAATAAAATCATTATTAATTATTAACAGGGTTATAATTATGACTTTGTTACAATGTAAGTAAGTAAATAATGTAATGAGAAAAAATTCAGATTTTACATTTTACTAAAATATTATCTAAATAAGCGCCTTTCTACAACAACGCCACTGGCTCCCAATGGGCAAATTGAGAGTTGTCTACCGGTCGAAAGTCGTTTCAAGACTTAAATGGATTATTTAAGTCAAATTTCTTGCAAATTTGGCACTGGCGAACCATATTTTATAGTTCTTGAACAGAAAAAGTCAATAAAATAAACACTTAAGGACTACAAACTAAGAAAATGCGTTAATACAGCCGGGGACATAGCGGCATCAAAGCTTTACCGCACACTTGCCACGCGTACTACAAGGTAATAAATGAATGAATAGGCTCCCTCGCCTCTAATCGGTGTTATCATATTGTAAAGAACTTATCCTTTTTAAACAGTATCCGACTTATAATTTAGTAGTATAAGGACTATTTAATACATCTATGGAATATTAAAACCTACTTTATTAAACTGTAGTATTAATATCTCAATATATGTGTATAACAAGAAAAAAAATATTGATAATATTAAAGACGTGACAACATAGGCTGGATGAGGAAGGCTCGGTCGACTGTACCCAGAAGTAAACATGTGTACAAAAAAGGTTGTTTGTCCGCGTTGAGATGTAAATAGTGTAGTCTATATTTTATTTTAAGTCTATGGTCAGTAGTGTTTGATCGCTTCTCAATTATTAAAATAAACGTAGATACTTATAGAAAATAATGAATGTTTATATTAGGTAGGCAGTCATATATTTGAATTCGAAAACTTTCCATCAAACTGAATTAAAACCTAGTGCATAACTTTTAATATCTTAAACGGCCCGGAAAGTGACCATTAAAGAATCTTTTTTTTCTACAGTTCTCTTAACAGATTTTTCGGTACTTTGACTAAAATCGTTTATCCACTGTATTAATAATTATACAGTATTAAGTACCTCGGTCTCTGTCTCGGTGTTATAGTTTTGACAGTAGTTGGCTCCCAAATAATTTAAAATGAATTATAATTTTAATTCGTAATGAATAATGTGTAACGTAAATTTTTATCTATATATTTTTTACAGATTATTGCCAAGAAGGTGATTTCTAGTAGTTCGAGCAGCAACGGTGGCAAAATGGTGTCTAGTTAGTTACCATAGTTACAATAGAACAAAAAGGTAAAGGTATATACCTTTTTTAAAATGGAACAGACACATTTCTTTCCTAGCCTTAATAATTAAAATAAGATTATTAACATTTTAAATTATATTCACTTTGGGTAGATATTGTTTTAAATAATAATATGTAATGTATTTTACCCAATCTTTAATTTGACGGTGTTGTTAAATTCATTACTCATACATTTTTTTGTTTATAGATAGGTGTAGGTATACCTATGCTCACCTTCGGTAGCAGTTTTTCACCAGCCACCCAAAGTTCGCAGTCACTAGAATACCAGAGGGACTACAGTTTGATTTGTTATCGACGCCTATGATCCTTATGATAGGCAGTCATTTTCACGCCGTGCCTGCACCCCATGTCCGCTGATGTTGGCGAGTAGCGGAGTAGTAGGCTTTGGAAACAGTTGAATGTGAGAGTTTGTTGATTTCGGCCCGGAGAAGACATTGTTTGTCAAGCTAGTTAGAATTATATTTTAAATATCAATTTCTGTTAAATATATTAATCTGCCGATTACATCAGAAGTGGCGATGAGTTTAATCCAGCGTTCTTAGGCCGTAAAGGCGTGTTTCTGACTTACTGACGACTATTGACTTGACTTTGACCTTTGACCGTATTGTTTCGTAAATGCGTCGGTTTCGAGGATCGATTCGGTGATCGATCGTCTCAGATACGGGTATCCGTCGGCGTCGGATTTCGGATATCATCGTCGGATCGGCGAAGCGCGAAAAGAAAACCGGAGGGATCATTCTGCTAGCTCTAGTGCTTGAAGGTAATAGCGAAAAAAAAGCAGTGCTGAAAAGAAGCGTCATATCACCCCTACAAGT